GAGAGCGGTTCTTGGCGCTGTGCAATATGTTATCGAACGCTCGCTCCACTCACCAACCCATCAAGTCATGAATTCCATCACTCATCAACCTGCCCCAACACTTTCATCCGCTCAAACTCACTCATGCAACCACCCGCTCATTCACCATCCATTCAAGACTCTCACTCTGTCACCCGTCAACACATCCATCCACTCCGGCCACCCAGCTATGCACTCACTCACTTACCAATTTTCTGACGCTTCAGCTTTATCAAAAACACTATTTTACTATTTGCCTGCCTCAAACGATCCTACGTCAAGACAATTGAGGCTATGTCAATAATCTCTTATCAGCCGTCCATTTACTTGGGAGTTATCTCAAACCGTTTAATGCTGATGTTAAAATGCATCCATTTCAATACATTCTTTTTCAAAAACCTCATTTATCCAAAATATCTTATTGTTTAAATATGTTCCCAAAGTGCAGCGAGATTTCTATCCTCTTTGTATACAGCAAACATTCGGCGTAACCCCTCTAAATGTAAGTCCCCTCCAGGACCCTTAATTACCACCGCTATCTATAGATGACAATTAAGAAGTCACTGGCCTTGCACCACGTTACGTAATTCCCCTATCAACAAAACCTGACTGACATTGTATAGCACGCCATTCTTCAAAATGACAAATTTCCCTCTAATTAAATAAGCAACCCCAAAGCCCTTCCTTTTCGGACATACCGAACTAAACCACGAAATGGCCTGGCGGGCCTTCCTATCGTCAGCAACAGACATCAGCCCAACCCTCCCGGTCGAAAACAACAAACCGCAGCCCAACCTTCCCGATCGACAGCAACAGACAGCAGCCCAACCTTCCCGAACGACAGCAACAGACAGCAGCCCAACCTTCCCGATCGACAGCAACAGACAGCAGCCCAACCTACCCGAACGACAGCAACAGACAGCAGCCCAACCTACCCGAACGACAGCAACAAACCGCAGCCCAACCTTCCCGAACGTCAGCAACAGACAGCAGCCCAACCTTCCCGATCGACAGCAACAGACAGCAGCCCAACCTACCCGAACGACAGCAACAGACAGCAGCCCAACCTTCCCGATTGACAGCAACAGGCAGCAGCCCAGCATACCCGAACGACAGCAACAGACAGCAGCCCAACCTTCCCGAACGACAGCAACAAACCGCAGCCCAACCTTCCCGAACGTCAGCAACAGACAGCAGCCCAACCTTCCCGATCGACAGCAACAGACAGCAGCCCAACCTACCCGAACGACAGCAACAGACAGCAGCCCAACCTTCCCGATTGACAGCAACAGACAGCAGCCCAACCTTCCCGATCGACAGCAACAGACAGCAGCCCAACCTACCCGAACGACAGCAACAGACAGCAGCCCAACCTTCCCGATTGACAGCAACAGGCAGCAGCCCAGCATACCCGAACGACAGCAACAGACAGCAGCCCAACCTTCCCGAACGACAGCAACAAACCGCAGCCCAACCTTCCCGAACGTCAGCAACAGACAGCAGCCCAACCTTCCCGATCGACAGCAACAGACAGCAGCCCAACCTACCCGAACGACAGCAACAGACAGCAGCCCAACCTTCCCGATTGACAGCAACAGACAGCAGCGCAACCTTCCCGATCGACAGCAACAGACAGCAGCCCAACCTACCCGAACGACAGCAACAGACAGCAGCCCAACCTTCCCGAACGACAGCAACAGACAGCAGCCCAGCATACCCGAACGACAGCAACAGACAGCAGCCCAACCTTCCCGATCGACAGCAACAGACAGCAGCCCAACCTTCCCGATCGACAGCAACAGACAGCAGCCCAACCTTCCCGATTGACAGCAACAGACAGCAGCCCAACCTTCCCGATCGACAGCAACAGACAGCAGCCCAGCATACCCGAACGTCAGCAACAGACAGCAGCCCAGCGTACCCGAACGTCAGCAACAGACAGCAGCGACAATCAACCAACATTCAAGATCAACCAACGTCAAGATTCTTCAGCAAGTGCCTCCCGATAATTGTGTGTGACAAAAACTTTTTTCTTACACACCTGTTTCTTAGACGCCTATTTGATCTGGTATATTTCAAACTCAGCTGCTATACAAGCATCCCTGAATTCCTCATAGATTTTAGAAACAAATGACAAATGGTTTTTGTCACCAATGCAAATTATCTAGATGAAATTATGCAAAATAAATTAAGTATGGAAACGAAATCTGTGCTCGGAAAACTGTACTTGCTGAAATGTAAACAGAGCAAAATTCAGATTTTACACTGTGTAACATTACAAGTTTAAGCCTAAATGTTGCATACATTGGCTCGATCACGCGTTTGACAATATTCATGGGATCGTTGCATTAATTATGTAATTACACATATATACATAACAGTGATGTGGGAAATTCAACCACAAGCCGTAAAAGTTTCCGTCCAGGTGTGTGACGCTGTGACTGACGCTAAATCACGCACAACGACGATGGTAGTTATCTGCATTTCTGACTAATTCTCTTTATTACATTGGAAAACATGCTTAACAAATGACAATACGCAGAATGTTTCTGATTACTCACGTTACACATTTATGTACCTCCCTCAATCAACGAAAATCCTCCTCTGGAAAATCCCGCGTACTGGTGTCAGTGAACACGCTATTTTGTAAAAGTTGGTCACCAGTAGTGATGTCATACGAAAGTAAACATTGTTGTACATATTTGGTAATTTCTTTGAGGTGTAATCTTTTAACTCGGCATTCAGCGTGTTCTTCGTTTTTGTCTAGCTTGCATTATCATCACCGCCTTGATACTCAACAGATATGGCGGAAACCTTTTTGTGTCGGGTCACTTTATTTATGAGTAGTAAGCAGTCCATGGGATGACGTCACTTATGACACGGTGTTATGTAATAATGCGCTACTACTTGAGAAGAGACAAAATGCATCGGTTCGATGCTAAAAAGATGCGATTTCAGAGTGTGTAAGAAACAGATTACTGCACTAGTGCCTGTCAGATACCCTTGATCTTACAACTCGTTGTTACAAAGCGTATCTAACTCGCTTTCGCTCGTTAGATACGTTTTGAAACAACTCGTTGTAAGATCAAGGGTATCTGACAGACACTCGTGTAGTAATCTCTATGTTCGAGCTCTCCACGGGTACTGTGTTAATTTATACATATTCTCACGGACATTCTTGTTCATTTTAGATATGTTATCTATCAAGAAGTCATTGTTTCGTTTGTGTTCAAATTCTGTCCTGTTTTCATACGAGTATGAATTGCAATCTATGTGTTGTTGTCATATAGATCTAGGTACATCCTTATCAGATTAACTTTTTGGCTAGACTCTTACTCTATTACATACGCTATGCTTTTACGCATTTAGTGCAGATGCTCCCATATAAATCAGACTTATAATTTGTGGTTCTATAACCATTCCTACAGATACTAGCTTTCAAAAAGTTACCCAATACGTTCCTGCTTATATCTTCATTTGTTCCTTTTTGAGTATGTAAGGACTGGCTGAAATTATTTGTACTCATTGTGAAAACTGATAAAATCGTTCCATGTGGTGGTAATCGCGATTGTAGAAGTATAAGTTAGGGAGCCTCGTTGCTTGCCGAGGTTATTCAGTGGAGACTGTGCATACAGTCTATATCCTACTTTTTCATTTTACCAACGCGATTTTGTGCTTAATTATGATACCGGAGAAAGTTATGTATCTTCAACCTTTAACGGTCTATGGCACACAAAAAATGATTCCTTCAAATATCTTTAAGCCAATTCAACAAAATTGAATTTTTCATTTCATTCGAGTCTTTTGAAGTTGGTTAGGTTTTGCATACACATTCTACGGTTTAGCTCAGATCACATATCTGCTAGCCTGGCCGTGTCTAGGCTCACGGTATAAGACTCCAATTTCAAAGATTTTACTGTTATCATGAAAATATTACTTGCATTTGCAAACGACAAAGCTTTACGCACATTATGTTTTTGTGCCTACGCCATCAGTGTACTATACTTCAACAGTGTTTATCGTCTGTTTCAATGTGATACCTGGGATAATAAAAGCATCTGGCAGTCTGGTATTCCGACTGCAGGGACGACCGCGAGCAGGATGTGCGAATAGGTGGAAACCTCCAAGGTTTTTTAGTGCGTAAGCCTGAATATCCGCTCACATGTATTTTGTGTCTACGAGCCAGCAACTTCGCTCAACTTAATGTTATGTGTAATTGTTTGACTGGTGTTTTTATTCACTTCATTTACTTGTACACGCCTGTATATCTTATCTAATGTCATTTCAATCATTCGAGTCCCGATCACTGTCTGTAGCAAAGACTTCTTTTTTTTGACATTTTTTATTCCTTTCAGAGGGTTGTACATCAAGTTCCAAGGTTTTACAGTAGGTTAAATCAATTGTAGTGAACATATGTTACATGGATGTACATTTCTTGTGATATAAATATGTATGTATAACTGAAATATATATATATATATATATATATATATATATATATATATATATATATATATATATACACACATGATATGTTTCAAGAAAAGCATGAAAAGTTGTACCGATAGTCAGATATAAGCATTTATGATAGTATTGCTATTTGAGGCGTTACTGGTCTATAGCATTATTGTACAGGGCATGATTATGATTTTAATTTGTGTAGGATTTTTCCCCATTTTCGTTCAAATTGTATTAGACCATGTTACAGGAAACAAGTATAATCAGTGATTAAGTCTAATAACTGGAAATTTCAGTGATTATGTCTAATGACTGATTCACTCGGTGGTTATGTCTAATTACTGAAATCTTCAGTAATTAGACATAATCACTGAAATGAACCAAGGGATTTTATACTTGTTTACTGAAAGCATATCCCTGCCTTTTTATAATAACTTGTGAGAAGGCTTCATAATGCTGTCCTAAGCCAATCAGGCAAACACATATAAATGGTACACCTTGACCAGATACCTCACACTTTGACTATGGAGCCTCACGATACCTTCAGAGATGCACTGTACAAGATGTATGAGGAAAACAGGCGTGTCCTCATCCCGAAGGAGCTTTACTTGGAATCTATGAACAACTTGCTGGAAGCCTCCAGTACCACTAAGAAGACACCACACCACTGCTACCTCCTGAAGAAGTATGAACTACTGAAGTGTGGTGACGTTGACAAGTTGATCAAACGACGCCAGTCATCAGAGGAAGATGCACTGTATTTCGTGACCATCGAAGATACGTACGACACTATCAAGCGCGCTCACCTGGCAACTGGTCGTGGCGGAAGAGATAAGATGATTCATGAAATAAATAAGAAGTATGCCAACATCACCATTGATTCAATCTCCCTCTTCAAATCCATGTGTACGGTGTGCCAGCGGAAGAGGAAGCGACCAACCAACAAGGGGACCGTTGTCAAGCCCATTCTTTCCAAGGACTTTAATTCAAGGGCTCAAGTGGACCTCATCGACATGCAGTCAATGAGTCAAGGCCAGTATAAGTGGATCATGGTTTACCAAGATCATCTTACCAAGTTTGTTGTGTTGCGTCCCCCAACGTATAAACGTGCTTCTGAAGTCGCCTATCAACAGTTTGATGTATGTGTCAACAAACTGTATAATGCTGACGATTTCAATACCGATCGAAGACTCTCTTTGCGTCAAGCGGTTCAACTTGACTCGGTCTGTGGTGGTCAAGGCTTTGTAAGGTGTAATTGTGTTGGAACTAAACGGTGTCAGACCAATCGCTGCAAATGTTTTAAGGCCAAGATGCAACGTAATTCTAGATGTCATTCAAGTCTTTCATGCGCAAACAAACATTCCTGAGTGTCCATCTGACTGCTATTTGTCATACCATTCACGTCATACCATTTTATGAAATAAAAGATTGAACTGTTTAAGCTTATTTCTGTGATTTTTGTGTAAGGTATCTGGTTACAGGAGGTTGTATTTACTTTGATAGCTAATCTACTTTCAAAACTAGCACACATTATAAAAACAAGGCAGGAATATGCTTTCAGTAAACGTATAAAATCCCTTGGTTCATTTTAGTGATTATGTCTAATTACTGAAGATTTCAGTAATTAGACATAACCACCGAGTGAATCAGTTATTAGACATAATCACTGAAATTTTCAGTCATTAGACTGTATCACTGATTATACTTGTTTCCTGTAACATATATATATAGATATATATATATCTTTTACTGGATATTATAATATGATTAAGTAAAAGTTTTTGGTAAGTGAGATCCTAGTATTGATATCAAGGTTTAAAAAGGTTTCCAGTTTGCTCCAAAGTGTTTAACATATTCACACACCCAATATACATGTATAAGGTTTTCTATGGATAAATTTAAAATGAAAGTCAATCAATTTAGTATCTTTAGTACATATTCTGAAGTTTGAATAAACTTCTTTCCATGGAATATCATCGTCAAAAAGAGACTGCCATTTACCATTTACTAAGGGTGGTTTTGTTATTGTAATTAGTCTATCATAAAAGTACCTAGATCCTTGAACGGGTATAAATATATCCCTCAATTGTGGACTAAGATTTAAGTCATGTATTGGTATTTGGATATAATAATTGACAGTGTCTCTCCATTCTTTAGGTATACTAAGTTTAACCTTATTATAATCTAGTATTGTACCCTGTATATCATAACGTACTTTTAATATTTCAAATAGCAGAAATCCATTCTCAAGTCCTTAATTGTCATTATACCCATTTTAAATCATTTTTTAATTATGTAGTTTTCATGTTTAAATCGGTGATTTAGGGGCTGTTATAGAATTTCGGAAATCTTTTCTGAATCTGTTGTAAATTTTATGCCATAATTTCCCACAACATTTAAGACATCTCTCTAAAAAGGGTTTTTCATACATAAATATTTATCAGCATTAACTCCTAAATTAATCATATCAGTGAAAGAAAAAACTGAAGGATTATCATATGTACTCTTTTTTAAATACCTTCTTGATGTAGATAATTTTAGTGATTCTATAAATATTTCAATGTCCACCATTCTAAGCCCACCATCAGCATTTTTTTTCTTCAGATTTTGCCTTTTAATTTTATCTGGTTTGTCATTCCATAAAAACCTAAACATAATTTTATTTAAGTTAGTAATAAAATCTTTTGGGGGGTTTGGCAGTGCCATAAAAATATGGACAAGAGTTGAGAGAGCCAATGACATGATAACAGTAATTTTACCTATGAGAGTCAAGTTTCTTCTTCTCCAGTTTGCCAATTGCCTATTTATTGTTTCAAGTCTTTTTCGGATATTGATAACCCATAGATCTTGCAAATGGGGGTTGAGAATAATTCCTAACACTTCAAAATTGCCTACATGCCAGTCTAATTTTAAATCTTCACAAATGGTTGTTGAGCTACCTGCTTTCGACCCGATCCAGATGGCTTTTGTTTTATCAATATTTATTTTGAGTCCAGACATTTTGAAGAAACATTCAAGTATATTTATTGCTGCATACAGGCTTTCTGCCTCTCCGTTTAAGAATACTTGTGTGTCATCTGCATACTGACCTAATTTATACTCTTTATCATTCAATACAATTCCTTTAATATTTTTATTGTCACTTATCATACAGCCTAAGATTTCTACAGCAAAAAGAAAAAGATATGGCGATATTGGGTCACCTTGTCTGCATCCTCTTTCATTAATAAAGAAAGAAGACATATGACCGTTTTGTATTACACAGGGGGATGCATTATTTGTTAGAAGGTGTATCCATTTTATCACATAAGGCCCGAAACCATACTTTTCTAATGCCTTGGAAATAAACTTGATATTGTATCAAACGCTTTCTCAAAATCAATCAGAAGCAACATTCTTAGTCTATTTAGTCTTTTACATTCAAACATAATGTCATAAAAAAGTCTTGTGTTTTCGCTAATACATCTTCCAGGAATAAAGCCAGTTTGATTATCATGAATTAGATGATCTAAAGTCATTTTCATTCTATTTGCAATACAAGTACTAATTATTTTATAAAGTGCATTTAGCAATGATATTGGACGCCATTTTTTTTAGAAATCTTCTGTCTTTGTTTCCCTTGGGTATACAAGTAATGACTCCCCTTTTCATTGTATACGTAATTTTATAAGTTTCAAAAGTTTCTGTAGCAAAGACTTGTCAACCTGTCGATGTCACATGCTTTTTACTGTATACTTGTACTCTCAATATTGTCACTATTTTTAAAACGCTCTTGAGAACAAAAGCTCCACGGGGTTCAGGGGTATTGTTATAGTGCAAACCATTTCAATACTTTTCTTTAAAACTTCATTTATCCAAAATACCTTGGCCACTCGGCCACGGTGTGCGTTCTGTCACGCTATTATCAACCTGTACCCTTTCGACTTATTTTAACCCATCAACAATAAACATGGCTGCTGTCGTCTTAACTTCACCCTTGAGTTTGGTGTTCCGTGGTCTAATCTGAAACCCTCCGCTGTTGGACACTATTTACATACACTTCCGATGACAATGTTTTAATATCAGGTCTTGTCAATTTGCTGGGATGAAATTTTGGAAATATGGGGTGGAAATGGTTGGTTGGTAATCATGTCAAAATGACAACTAATTACTATATAAATATTGTATATAAATATGTATAAAAAATTGTAAACATGTGTGACACTTTTTGTTATTACATACAGCCTGGAATAAACTCAACAACTGCATTACAATTATGACTTAAAATTGCTGTCATCTCCGAACTTGACAGGGAACCTGCCTGCCTGAGGATGAAACCGACACCAGTGATGCTCCCTTCATCTGTTTCATCAATCTCTTCTCACAAGATAGTGCGCTGGTCAAATGCCGATTAAAACAATCTAGTCAAATGAAGGCGTGTGTCTAATTAATAACTCGCTTCCTCGCCAACAGGGGGACGTCAAGTCACCTGGGTAGGAGAGGATACGGACCACTACAGATTACCCCTGGGTCACTCAACTTTAGTTCAAAAGTCAATCATTACGTGCACGAGGTGGGTATTTGCAGACCCCTTAATAATACATACTCAGGTTTTATAATATACATTTCCTAGCTGACAAATTCTGAATTAAGTTTGAACTCCGGATTACTTCATATAGGATATGTACGACTCACAATTAGTAAACTTGGGCCCTTTTAAACATGGAAGCAGGGTCGTCTTTCAGGAAATGAGATCAGACAGGGGTCTTCGCCAGGAAAACCTTACACCACACACTCCGTCATGCAATCCTTACAACAGCAGGGACAGTTATGTGCAATTACACTCTTAAATGTTCCTCTTTGTTGGGATCGTTCTATTCGTTGCTGGAGGTGATTAAAACAATAGTAGTTGACCCTGAGCATATGATAATATTGAATATTGGTAGCTGTTAGACAGGACATCTTTTTTCTTTAACAGATTAAATTGTTTACTTCAAGCTCTAAATGTTTGAAATATAGATACAAAGTCAGATACATTTACCTAGTGATAAGTTCCCCCAAACATCAAACGGTCCATATAATGTTCACATCAGAAAGTGGGTTAACTACTATACATTCCTCGTTTGGAATAAGGAAGAGACCATCTAATGTTTAGGAACTTAATTATTATTTCCAACATAAACAGGAACTCACTTTGTTTTGAAACTAAATGAAAAAATGAATTTCCAAAAATTCTGAAGTATATGCTTAAGTCCACTGGAAAACTGATTACTGGCATCAGCGTAGTAACACAGCCGTAAGCAAATAGACACATCCGAATCTCGTCAAAGGAACTTCAGTATGTAATTTTATGAAGTGACTTAATCAGTGTTGGAAATATGTCTAATAAGCGTTTCATAAAGACAGGCTTTTCGATAGCTATCGTTGATTATCGATACTTATATGTTTCATTCGTAGTATTTCAATATCTTACATCCTCCTCCACCCACTAGCTTCATTAAGCTAGCCATTGCCGAGATGCTCATTTACAATACAATACGTTAACATCAATAGGTGTACCACGACCACCTTAGTGTATATGTCGGGTATTACATGTGCATTGATAGATTCTCTTAAAGAGATGCTTCTGTTGATGTACATCAAGCACATGTCCATGCTTCTGTGTATATGTTTGTCTACCAGAGGTTTCGTTAGCTGCGATCTACTTGCAGACAAAGTAGGGCGTTCCTGGTGGTTTCGTGAGCTCATCGCACGCTCTGCAATCGTCTGGACCTAGTTAGGACTTCTGGAACAAACGTTTGCAGGAACCGGTTGAACTCTCGTGCCCTGGAAATAGATTGTCTTTTATTTGTGTTATAAAAGAGGATACTGTATCTTTTCTATTTTTTATACGTAACTATAACTGAGTACTCTTGTTCTGAGTGTCTTCTCTTGTTTCCATTTTGATGTCCTTTATATTTTTCAATCTCTTTCAGCTGAGATATAACATGTTCAAAATATTTAAATCATAGCAAACATCATATTAATCATGCAAAATTTAATATAACCGATGAAAACATAAACAGTAAATGCGAATGTTTCACTCTATGTCAGATCCAACTCTTGTACAATGCAATTACAGTAGTTATTGCTCTCTGTACCTCATTACTGTACGTGTTATCTGATTGATTTTTATCTTTTTATGCAGAACATAACAACGTCTTTGAATGCGAACTATATGACAGCGTGGTCCAAAGAATCGATGTTCTCCTGTGTTTCTCGGACATTTTGTATTTGGTCCTCCATTATGTGAGCATAAGTAGTTTGGAGACGATTTAGTGAATCTGGATGAGATAGAATATCATAAGCATGTATTAATCTCCTAACAGCAGCGTGACTTTCAGTTATATTGCATGACATATTGTAGGGAGCTAGCATGATACATTGAACGACAGATTGGCCCCTGGTTATTAACAAACAGTGGATCGATGTTGTCATACGATCGTATGTCTTCAGGGCTGGCGTAATGCAGTTACAATCTTAGCTCACCACATCAGTGAGTCCGGTAGAGAATGGTTCATGTCGTTCATCTATCTTTTCGACTTTGCAAGCACACTGTAAAATGAATATGTATTTAGTAGTTAAAATGTTTAGAAATACATTGGTCACGTAATAAAAACACTTTTCATAATCAAAAGAAATTGTTGTTGTTGTTGTTGTTGTTGTTGTTGTCTTTACCCAGCCTGGCGGTAGGAATTAAGAAAACAAGGACTGGTCGACTCGGACAGTATGCTGTGTCTGAGTGGGGTACTCATGTTAAACTGCGGCATGGTATGTCAGTGGTCTAGCACTTTAAAATCAGCATTAGATAATCATTATTTCTAATCGACATAATAATTATCATCGCTACAATATATCCATCAATGCAATCACATGGAACTTTCGACAGCGTGATCAGTTTCCAGTTTTATTGCACGCAATTATAATGTGAATGAATGAGCACGCGTTGTTTTGTGCTGCATGAAGAAATATCACGATGGCACGTACAAATCCAAAACTGGCCTAGGAAAATCATGAGATCAGGGATTGATTAAGGCTACATGAAGACACACACTCCGACTGACTGCACACTGAATACCCTTTCTTCATTTTGAAAGGTTCGGGCGACATGTATTTTGGAATAGGTACTTATATCGCCCTAACATTCCAACATGGACTTAAACTAAGAATTCAGCTATTCAAACGATTCGCATTTGTCTTAAATTCCTTGAGAACTTTCTTATTAAAGGATGCTCATCATTTTAGATGTATTACAGATATGCTGTAGTTTAGGATAGTTTACGCCACGATTCAATGACAGACTGGAATCCTGTACATACACTATTTGTAAACAAGCACACCACCAGTCATAGCTACCGACAACAAATGATTTGTCAATGTCAATACGGAGTTCAAAGTGGTTTGTTTGTTCACAAGAAACAAGAGACAAACACTATCTACTATTTTCAAAACTAAGATCAAGTGAAAATGTAACACTGCGACACTGATAAATATTCACCTCGTGGGCATGTTTTTCACGTGTGTTTCTAAAATTTTAACTATTGGCGTCTTTACAATCCAACTCACGTCTCGTGATAACATACATGTAGTTAGTGCAAAAAACATCTCAGCTGCATCGGCACACTTAGAATGTACGGAAGCTAACTCATCGAACACAAATCACGCCGGAGTTTCGCAGTTTGAAACAGTAACCCAAAGGTCCAACCAAATTAATATGGCCGATAGCATAATGACTTGTAGATAAAGGGAATGATAGCTCGTGTGGTATTGCGTTTTATATTTGCCTCTGCTTCAGCTTCATACATCGTGACCGAATGTGATCATAATGTCACGATACAGGCGAACATCAATGCATTGTATCAAATATGCTTTCGAATAAACAAATCTACCTTAAGTTATATACGAAATATTTCTCTATGGGAATGATCCAAACATATACATTGACACTGTACTCTTGACACAAATACAACGAAAACCTTAACATCTTTAAAAAAGTCAACTAGTCAATGATAAATGTACTGTATACATTATCATGAACAATAGCAGCAGCAGCAACGTCAAATGCATCTATAAATTTTGCAGTGTGCATTTAATGACACGGATTCCTTGTCGTCAACTTGATACGTATAGCGTCGTTAAACAACGTGACATTTAATCAATATCTGAAGGCACCGATCGTCTTCCAAATGATAGCTGGTATTCTACCACCATACTACACAAAGCATGACACCATTGTTTTGCTGCCGTTTTATTGATATCCGTTTGTCATTGAGCATGAGCTCTGTATCACAGAATAGCATACTGCTATTTGGTGAACTTACTGAACATCCCTTCTTTCATATCAGCACTGAGTTTAGCCAGAAGTCCCGGGAGGAAGTTTGCAACACTAAAGATCGGCTTGCTCTTCGAAGGATTCATTAAAGTTATTTGTCATTCATCTGTATTTTTTATGGCGCAATGCTGTTGACATGAAGTTCAAACCATGAGTACACCTGTACCTTTATTGTGGCATGAGGTCATCCCCGGGAGCAAATCTTCAGCACAGCATATGAAAGTATTATTTCTCTGAAGGATAAGTCTGTATTATATTTCTTTAATACTGACAATTCCTTGTCAAATGATGAATTAAAAAAATCCGACTGTGATATTTATATATTTATATATAGATATATATATATAGATATATATATATAGATAGAGAGGGAGAGGGGGGGGGAGAGAGAGAGAGAGAGAGAGAGAGAGAGAGAGAGAGAGAGAGAGAGAGAGAGAGAAAGTGGTTATCACGCGAGTGTGTTTGGGGATGGTAAATATCCTGCATTAGGAATAAAAATGATAAACGTGATAACCTCTTTATCATATAATGTCATTCTTTAATTCTGTGATGAAAATCGCTTTCCCTCTCTCACAAACATAAGCGAAACATTGCGAGTTTTCCTGGAATGTGCGCATTAATATTTATTTCGTCACAGGGTAAGTGATGTGTCAGTCGGACAGTGACAGTAGCTAATATAGTCACAACTGAAATCTGTTTCGTATACAGTGGCGAAGCAACATATACGCAAAACAACAATTGTTTTTAATTGCCTTTCGCCAATCCATCGGTCTGTCTGCTAGAGTAACTGCCCTTTGTCAAAGGGAAGCTACTCAAACCCGTAGTCCATGAGACGTCACGGCCACGTTCAGACGTTGTTGACAGTCGGTCTGTCCTGTCATAACGTTAAGAAGTGTAGTCAGATGTACACACAGCGACAAAACGAAACAAGGTAACAATTCAAACATATTTCGGCCAAATCCAAATATTTTAATTTGTGGAGAAGGTTTCAAGCCGCAGAGGTCTACAAGCAATGGTTAATTCTGACTCGATCGCGAATGACGAGGGCGACGCCATGTTTGTTTATAAACAGTGAA